AGAGAGAGAGAGAGAGAGAGAGAGAGAGAGAGAGAGAGAGAGAGAGAGAGAGAGGCATGGAACAGGGGGAGGAACACTGACCTTAGCCAGCGTACTCTGCGGACGTCCAAGGCGGCGGAGGGTCGCAGTAGCTGAAGAATGCACTACACGGTGGATTGCAGCAGCGGACACGACATGGTGTGCAGCCTTTTTTTTTGTGCGGCGACTTGGAAAAGTATGGGTTTGGAATTCAAATTCTTAGCGCCTCCCCCCTGGAGGGCATCTCAGGAAGATGCATCCCCCACAGAAGGGCAAATCGGACAGGCAGCAGGGGAAACAGGACCGCCGGTCCCGTAGGGGCCTTCCAAAAAGTTGTGCCCCTCACTGACAGGGGTCTGTTCGAAAGTTCAGAGGCCCAGGGGCAAATCAAGGTAAGTCGGCCGTCGGAGGGGCAAATCGCAAATTCATGCAAACTTCAGGGGCATTTCAAAAATTTTCCCAAAAAGAAAACAAAGACCCATGTGGACGTAATATGATAATATCCATCGGATACATTCACGAACCTAATACGCCACTGAGTGAGGGCATTCCTGCAAATGTGAATAGGAGGAAAGAAGTAAAAGGAAAAAAAAAGGAAAAAGGAATGGAATATATGGACAGGATAGTGGTCATATACATTCTGGAAAGTAGTAGTGTGAGTATGCCCTCAGTGAGTGCCTTTCCTGAGAACGTGGAAAAAGTCTGCCTTGCTGGCAGGCACTAAAAGAGAGGAGGAGAAAAAAAGACCAATCATTTGGTCGTGATAGTGGTCAGATACATTCTGGACAGCACTACTGTGAGTATGCCCTAGGTCAGATGCCTTCCCCTGCATCTCTTTTCTGTTACTGTCATGAACAACAACGGCCTTTGTTCATCATTGATCTGGATTTTTTTTATTTTTTTTTTTTGTTGCTAATCTCTTTGGTGCCATCTGCTGGCACGAGGTACAATACTCTATTTCAATGTAGGCTGGTACCGGTACCCCAATAATTTTCTTTTCAGCCTGTCACTGTAGCAGTCAGCCTCGGAAAAGTGCAACTTTTGGTTCGGCAATTTAGGTTCGTGTGAACTGGTGGTTTAAGAGCCCTCTCAGGTATGAGCCTTTCACCAGCGAGAAGAATTTTCTATGGCATGATGTTTCCTTCTGACCCCCAAAGGAGGCCTCTTTTTGCCTTTTTTTCTCATGTGGCCCTATGCTGTGT